TTGCTGGCTCTTCTCTCTAGCCATTGAATCTGAGGCTGAGGCAGGAGGATGGCTTGCGCCTAGGAATTTGAGGTTGCAGTGAGCTACAATGATGCCACTGCTCTCTAGCCAGAGTGACAGAGCAAGACTCTGTCTCCCCACCAAAAAAAAAAAAAAATGTTAACTAGCAAGAAGGACTTAATTCGGCTTTCCTATCTTTTCTGATCAGCCAGAACTTTATACCAGTGACTCTTCTTTCCTTTTTCGGTCTCTTACTGTGTAGCAAAGGCAGAAAGGGAAAGGCATTTTATACAGAAGACTTTTGGGAATACTGTAATTGTATTTTCCTAATGCATTTTATTGGGAATTTCTAGTTTGCTCCCTGTGTCATCTTCTATCTTGCCTCTAATTGCTAGATGTATATTTATTGGCTTTTACACTACAGATGATCTAAAAACGTGGAGATAATTTTAGACCATTTTACCGTAATTTTTAATACATATTTCTTTCCACACAACATATTGAGGATTGTGACCCCTTGGCCATCTACACTGGCCATCCACTCCCTCTAGCATCTTTGAATATGTAGCACCAAAACAACCAGGAGGTTCGAGAAGTGAATCTTTAGTAAATGTAATTATTAATATTAGCCATGGCATGTACACAGTGACGGTGTACACATTGCATGAGAAATGAATGCAGGACCCTCAAAGTGCAGCATTGGGCCCAGCTCTGGGTGTTATATTGATGGAGGTGGGGGAGCAAAAACATTTCTCCACTCATTTTCCTGAACCATAACCTTAGGAAAGAAATTTTCTTGTCAACCATAAGCTGGGCTATGTCTTTGCAATGTTGTTGTGTACAGGCCACAGGGAATCAGGGCACAGGAAAAGCTTGTCCTCTGAGAAAACCTCGCTGTCCTCATTTCCAGGAACAGCTATAGAGAACTGAACAGCTAATCTCACTGTCAGGAGGGCGGGAAGCCAAAGGGAGCCTCAGGTCACCAAGCACCAGGGCACTCAGGCTTTAAAGTAGCCGCATTCACTTTGTGGGCCATTTGAAGAAATCTGTATGGAAATTGAGGTTCAATTTCCTTTTTTTTTTTCCTGAGACAGAGTCTTGCTGTGTTGCCCAGGCTAGAGTGCAGTGACCTCATCTTAGCTTATAGCAACCTCAAACCCCTGAGCTCAAGGAATCCTCCTGCCTCAGCATCCCGGGTAGCTAGGACTACAGGAGCATGCAAGCCACCACGCCTGGCTAATTTTTCTATTTTTATTAATAACAGAGATGGGATCTCACTCTTGCTCAGGCTGGTCTCAAACTTCTGACCTCGAGTGATCCTCCCACCTCGGCCTCCCAGTGTGCTAGGATTATAGGTGTGAGCCACCGTGCCTGGCCTTCTCCCAGGCCTGGCCTTGCTCATTCCCTTTGTTTTTGTTTTCCAGGGCTGCTTTCTCAGCTTAAATTTTCCCCTTCCAACTCATTCGCTCTTTAAATGGTTTAATTCTCCTCTGGGTATAACCATTATGCACAATAGACACATAGAAATGCATGTTCCTTAGTATCCCTGCTGGTTTCCTCTTGGGTGGCAGGCCCACACCCTTGCCACATGGCTAATACACATCTAGCTAGTTGCCCCTCATTCTTCTATTGCCCCTCTTTTGCTTCACGACTTTACCATTCACTCAGATGTTAACACTAGAAATCTCTTATCTTTTCTACTTTTCTCCACTGCACTCTCCTCCCCTAAACACAACATTCAACAATGAAGCATCACGTCTGGCCATTTCTGCCTGTGGAATATTTCTGGAATCCTGGGACTTCCCAAGAAACTTTTAGCTTGTCTCAGACCTAAGTCTCTCTGTTTCCAAGTCATCCTCCACATAGTCATCAATTATTCTTGCAGAACAAAATTCTGATCTTACCTCTCCCCTCCTTAACCTCCAACAGTTTACCCATAGTTTGGATAATGTTTTAATTCCTTAGCAATATGTACAATTCCTCTATGGTCCTTCATTCCCAATCAAAATTCACCTTTCTGCTCACCTACTCTCTTAGTTTTCTGCTTTCTGCCATATGACAGCCAGTTCCTGAATTTCATATGAAATCAAGAAAGAGTCCAAATACACAAAGCAATCCTAAGTGAAAAGAACAAATTTGTAGGCATCAGATTACCTGACTTCAAATTATACTACAAGGCCATAGTAACCAAAACAGTATGGTATTATTATAAAAGTAGACACATAGATCAATGATCAGAATAGAGAATCCAGAAAGAAAATCACACACCTACAACCAACTGATGTTTGACAAAGCAGACAACAACATACACTGGGGAAAGGATGCCCTATTCAATAAATGGTGCTGGGAAAATTGGATAGCCTCATGCAGACAAATGAAACTGGACACCTACCCCTTGCTATATACAAAAATTAAGTCAAGGTGGATTAAAGACTTAAATGTAAGACCTGAAACCATACAAATTCTAGAAGAAAACGTAGGGAAAACTCTTCTAGACATCGGCCTAGACAAAGAATTTATGACTAAGACCCCAAAAGCAAATACAACAAAAACAAGTAAATAAATGAGACTTTTTTTTTTTGAGACAGAGTCTTGCTCTGTCACCCTGGGTAGAGGGCAGTGGTATAGCTCACTGCAACTTTAAACTCCTGGGCTCAAATGATCCTCCTGCCTCAGTCTCTGGAGTAGCTGGGACTACAGGCTCGTGCCACCACTCTCAGCTAATAGTTTCTATTTTTAGTAGAGACAGGGTCTTGCTCTTGCTCAGGCTGCTCTTGAACTCCTGAGCTCAAGTGATCCTCCCACCTTGGCCTCCTACAATACTAGGATTACAGGTGTGAGCTACTGCACCCAGCCCTCACAACTTATCAAATAAATGAGTTGCACAAGAGTGCAAAGTACCATGCGAAAGAAATATAGTGTCAACAACAGAAACCTAAGACATACATACGCTCTAGTGCTGGCACACAAACACATACATATACACCAAGAACAGAGATTAAAATGAATCTATCTTTCCTCTACCTTAAGTGACAGCTTTGTTAATTCATAATGAGCAGTATAAATATTAATAGCAGCCTCTCTATAAACTTTTTTTAGAGACAGGAGTCTTGCTATGTTTTCCAGGCTGGCCTCAAACTTCTGGGCTCAAGTGATCCTCCCTCTTCAGCCTTCCACATAGCTGTAACTACAGGCACATACCACCTTGACCGGCTTAAAATTGGTATATATTTCCCTTTTCTGTTGTTTATTGCTGCCTGATGAGAGCAAATATGGGTTCTACCAATGTCAGCAGGCAGAACTGCTGCAGTAAAATTTATTCAAAATGAGCGATTATTGTGGGTTCCGATATGAAGAGATGAGTTGTATCATAGATACATGTGTGAATTTGGTATCTGTTTACACAAGCAGATAAAAGCAAGCCACTGGAGCCAGACTGGTTTCTGTTCTACCCGGGGTCCTTTACTTACTAGCTTTGTAATCTTGGACACTCATCTGTAAAATGAGATAAGTAACCACATTAACAATGTCATAGTTTGCTATAAGGATTAAAGGAGTTAATACATGTTAAGCACTTGGAACAGTGCTTGGCACAAAATGCTCTATAAATGTCGCCCATTGTTTTTGTTCTAATAGGCCGTTTTTTTTTCAGCCAACTAACTGAGCATGGTAATATTGAATCTCATGGACACAGAAGGGAATTTTTGTCAGAATACCAGAGTAAGGTTTATTAAGTATAGCCAAAGGGGTCCAGGAATTTATTAACACATTCGTTGCCTTTAGAGCTGAGTTTGTTAGAGTGTTAATTGAGAAAGGCAGTGTTTTTAGATTAGAATGTGACATTTATTCTGGTATTGTTAGCATACGGAGTAGTAAAAACAGTAGTCAATAGTCTTGCATGTTATCTTCCTTTAGATTTATTTTCAAAAAAATCCATTTGGTTTATTACATGATTATATTGTGTCCCACTTAACCCAGTTGTTACAAATAAAGGAAAGAGATGGTAGTGTATAAAGAGCTGATGAAAGCTTTTAATGAGTGGAAAACCTCAGAACATAAACCTCTGCAATGTTATTAATAGACATATATCATCAGCAACAGTTTTACAGACTTTGTGCTTCACTCTGGAGAAAAACAAGAGTATGACATCTTGAATTTCTTCATTGGGTAATTTAAAACCCAGTTACAATGCGAACACCAGCTGCACATATCCTGTTACTTGAGTTCAGCATCAATTAAAATTATAAATGAAACTAGTCATATGTTCCCTTTCAAAGCTGTTATTATTCAAAACAACTGTCAAAATTAACAAAACAGTATGAATATTTATTACCATCAATCGTTTAACTGTTTGGTTTTGTTACCTTTTAAACTCCTTTCAGATTCTTAGTTCTACTACTCAGACTATAATAGCTAACACATATGGAGAGTTTACTATATAATTCAGGTGATGTTCTGGACATTATTAAATTCTGATTCTAATGAGACAACTGTTGAGCGGTTGCAGCTTTTAGATAATACAAACTCATGAAGAAGGTCGTGGAGGCAGTACCGAAACAGTATATGGAGTCTATAGACCCGTGTTCTTTGTACAGCATTTATGTTGACGGCCTCTTTTAGGAGCTGACAACCTTGTACGATTTTTTTTTTTTATTACTATCAGTAGAAAGGAGAGTGGCGTTTTCCACAAGACGATGTTGCGCTTGGTCTGTCTCTGATGGCTATTAAACCAGTAAAGCCGTTCTCGTCCTGCTGCTGTGGAAAATAAGCAACAGTGAAAAAGTAACAATGATTTTAGCCCGCTAAAAACATTCAGAACGTAATTCAATCGCCAGGAGAGCGAAGGAGGCAGAGGCGAGAAGCCGAGCCCCGAGCCCCGCCTTCCTCACTGCGCCCCCGCCCCGGGGCGGAGCGGCTGCCCGGGCGCCGAGGGGCGGACCGGGCTCGGGGCGCGCCTGCCGGGAGCCCTGCTGGCGGCCGTGCGTGCGCCGCCGGGGTTCTGGCGGCCCGCGGCGCGTGCGCAGGCGCGGTACGCGGCCACCAGCGAGCGAGGACGCGAGCCGAGCGCGGAGGGTAGCCGGCTCTGGGCGCCATGGGGCCCGGAGAGGAGCGGCCGGTGGAGGCGGGCGCGTGCGGAGGCGTCTCCGAGCTGGAGCTGCTGAAGCTGCGCGCCGCGGAGCGCATCGACGAGGCGGCCGAGCGGCTGGGGGCGCTGAGCCGTGCGATCTGGAGCGAGCCCGAGCTGGCCTACGAGGAGCACCATGCCCACCGCGTGCTGACGCGCTTCTTCGAGCAGGAGCCGCCGGTTGCCGCCGCCTGGGCGGTGCAGCCGCACTACCTGCTGCCCACCGCCTTCCGCGCCGAGTGGGAGCCGCCGGGGGCCCGGGCGAGCGCCGCGCCGCGCCCGCTGCACGTGGCCTTCCTCTGCGAGTACGACGCGCTGCCGGGCATCGGCCACGCCTGCGGCCACAACCTCATCGCCGAGGTCGGGGCGGCGGCCGCGCTGGGCGTGAAGGGGGCCCTGGAGGGCCGCCCGGGACCGCCGCTTCCCGTGAAGGTGAGGTGGGGCGGGCGCGGGGCTGCAGGCGGCTGCCCAGGTCGGGAGCTTCCCGGGAACGTCAGGATCCCCGAGCATGCGGCGCGCCCGGTCCCTCCCGCCCGGGCGGGTGTTGGGGGCGGCACTCAGCCCCGCGAGCCTCACCTTCTGGGCCCAAAGGCAGAACAGAATTCCCTGATAAAAGTCAGCCAGCAGTTCACCTGTTGCCGACCTAGCTGTGTTTTGCAGATATCCGTATCCTGTTCTGTCGCTGTAAACAACTCAGTACATTTCTTCCTTAGGAAAGAAGTTAGAACCAAGCCCGCTTTTCGTTTCAGGATATTTTTGTTAACCGAGAGACAACTGCGATTTGCTAATAATGTTGTGCAATCTCTGAAATTATTTTTGTAGAGAAATCTACAACCCCTGTTTATTCGGCTTCAAAAAAAATTTTTTTGTGTTCGTGGCAGTCATAGAGCTGTTGTGATTTTTATCATTGGGATTTGGATAGGAAGTTTTCAGTCGTTAGAGCCACCAAACCTCTAAAAGTACACATATGATGGGGAAGTGAGTGAACATTGACTACATAGATGAACTCATCCTTAAGTCTTCATTTTTATTTCATGAGTTGACAAATATCTTGATTCTTTAAACGGGGAAATGTTTATGTTTGTCATAGGGTGAGTTTAATCGTGCATTACTCTTTTTCCAGATGTTTTGCATTCTGTAAGCTAAGATTCAGTCATCATTCAAGTTAAGAGGAAACCAAATGTTTTATTTTCATATTCTTTAGCCCATTATTTCCAATGCCAGTAACCTTTCTCATTTTATCCTAACAGTTCCATCTTTTGTGGCTTTTTCTCTTTGGCTGCCTTCTCTTTTCTGCTTCTGGGGGCTTTTTATTGCACTTGGTTAGGTTTTTGTTTTGGTTGGGGGGGCATCCTTTGCCATGTCGTGAAACGCTGGAGAGATTTACCTTTAACCAGGTTTATGAAAGGTCAGCAAGAGGCATCATATTTAATGAGTCAAGGATTAAGAGTAAAGAGCAGTGTAATTTCAAAGTTTGGGTACTTTATAACTTCTAAACAAAGCTGGACTTTGGGAAAAGTACAAACTTCAAATGGTTCTCAATTTTAGCAAGGTTAAGCTGTATCTTATCCAAAAATGGAATTTAAGTCGATTATCTTCGCAAGACAAGACATTTTTCCAGCTTGTTTCATTGTCTTATACATGATCCTGAAAGTATGTTAGTTGTTTATAGATAATTTTTTTTCTTTTTAAAATTGTTGAAGAAGTTAAGCTTAAATATCAAAGTAAAATGTTTACTCTGTAAAGTTCTTTTTTGTTTAATTAGGTGTTTGGTGACCAATAAATCTGCCTGGTTGAACTGGTGGAATCGAATTAGTAAGTTTGTGTAATAGTTGGCTGTTTCTAACCATGGTATTAAGATTTGTTTAATGTTCTTCATAAAGGATTAATGAATTAAGACCTGTTAAGTAGGTAGCTCAGTAGGAATAAGAGTTCAGGCCTAAAGGTCAGGACGTCTAATCCCAGCCCTGCCTGAAGACTTGCTCTGTGCCCTGGGGCAAGAGACTTTACCCTATTCCTCAAAATCATCCTCCCTAAAATGATGATATAGCTTGCTTACCTACCTCACAGGGTTGTTGTGAGGATAAATTAGTAAGTCACTGGAAAGTTCCTTACCAGTCAAATGCTTACGAGTAATTGTAGACATAAATTAAAAGACTTAGGAAGAAGCTTTAAGAAATAAATCCTAACAAATTTTGAGGAACTAAATATGTAGTATTTAACTTTTTATTTTTGCCATTAGTTATGGAAAATTGAGTTATAAAATTGGGAAAAACTACCTATAGTGTCTCTAGTACATACTTTGCACCAAATTAGTATAGCAGTGTAAATTAAATGTGATTAATTCAGCACCAGAGAACAAAACATCTCTTCATAGTTTAAGGACTTTAATGTAGATTGTGAATAAATATGCAAAAGAACTTGTTTGATATTTTCCTACTAGGATTTTGTTGTTGTTTTGCTCTGACATGGGTATTTCCTTCTAGGTCATTGTCCTGGGAACCCCTGCAGAAGAAGATGGTGGTGGCAAAATTGATCTAATTGAAGCAGGGGCTTTTAAAAACCTTGATGTTGTTTTTATGGCCCATCCATCCCAAGAGAATGCTGCTTATCTCCCAGATGTAGCTGAACATGAGTAAGTAATCAAGTGGAAGATAAACTTCTTAGAGGAAAACAGACTATAGAATACTTTTGTGTCTAAACTAGAGACTAAAACTCCACATTTATACATTTAAAAAGTAAATTGAAAGATAATGATATGGTGTCTTGATTTCTATTGAATGACATTTGACAAGCCTCTTCTAATTGAGATTTAATATGATGTTCGTAATTGGAGTATTAAAATAGTAGCCCTAAAAAGCATAGGAATAGTAAACAGAACATGTTCTCACTTAAGTTCTGCTTTGAACTATCTGAAAACATTTTCTAGATGTTTCTGGAAAACATCTGTCCTTTAATACGAGGTTGCCTTTGCAACTGCATAGATCTGCAAGAGACAATTCTATTAGACTTGGGAAGAAAACATACTTCTCCATTTGACTTATTTTGAGTTCTTTACAAAGAGGACAAATTATGCCCTGAGAGAGAACACGGAATCTCAGTAACTGCAGATTTTAGTGGAACTTGTCAGTCTGTGCTTTTCAGCTTTGTGTACTGCTGAAACCTTTTATCTTTCTCAACATTGAGGAGCTCCCTTTTTTCGGTTCTAGGAGCATGCATTATTGAAGTGGTTTGAATTTTTTACACCAGAAATTTCAACTGTAGTAGTTAATGGTCCAGTCACAAGGAGCCCCTGCTCAGCTGCTTCTGGAATACCATATGTTTTCCTCTGAAGTAGCTGGGTACCTAAGGAATGATAGTAGAATCACCCAACAGTATTTCTAGATTGTATTCAGGTAACTCACCTCTCACACCCTATTGGGCCTTGTTTTCAGAGGGTGATCATTTTAACTATTCTGGTATTTCAGTTTTTATACTAGGAATTCATACTGTGACAGTAGAAAGACTCCTTAAATTTTGATTTCAGGGTGGTGTAATTATAGCATACCTCTGGAAAACATTAGGGATTAGAAATCTTTGCTTGTGTCTCTGGCTGCAAGGGGCCTACAGCTGTAGGCAGACTTCCCAGCCCATTAGCCTTCTTGGACTGTCTTGATCCTAAAGTTAGCCTACTTGGCCCCAGGCTTCTTCTTAGAGTCTGACTTAGTTTTTTCATTGGTCATCTTTTAAGATGGAAAAGAGAACAAGATCAATAATTTAATTTTTGGCGAGCGCAGTGGCTCACGCCTGTAATCTAGCACTCTGGGAGGCCCAGACGGGAGAATTGTTTGAGCTCAGGAGTTTAAGACCAGCCTGAGCAAGAGTGAGACCCCGTCTGTACTAAAAATAGGAAGAAATTAGATGGACAACTAAAAATATATAGAAAAAATTAGCTGGGCATGGTGGCACATACCTGTAGTCCCAGCTACTCAGGAGGCTGAGCCAGAAGGATTGCTTAAGCCCAGGAGTTTGAGGTTGCTGTGAGCTAGGCTGATGCCACAGCACTCTAACACGGGCAACAGAGTGAGACTCTGTCTCAAAAAAAAAAAAAAAAAGAATTTAATTTTTAAGAAACTACTAATCCATTGGTTTTATTTTTTTTTTTTTTTTAGTCAGGGTCTTGGTCTGTCATTCAGGCTGTGGTGTAGTGGCATCATCATAGCTCACTGTAACCTAAAACTCCTGGGTTCAAGCCAATCCTGCCTTCACCTCCAGAGGAGCGTACTACAAGCATATGCCACTATGCCCAGCTAAGTTTTGTATTTTTTGTAGAGGCAGTGTCTTAGTATGTTGCTCAGTCTGATCTTGAATTCCTGGGCTCAAGCAGTCCTCCCACCTTGGCCTCCCAAAGTGCTGGGATTATAGGCATAAGCCATGGAACTTGGCCCTTATCCTAAAATCAGTTAAGAAATCACAAAAGCATCCTAAGGACTCCTGAATCTAGCCCATTAAAAAAAAATAAGTCCAGAGTAGTTTTCTAATAATCTAATATGGGTACTGTTAATCAGTTAGGCTTAAAAAGGGATATCTAAACAACTCAGTCGTGAAACTTTGTAAGTAACTATTTACTATGTAGTCCTTTATCTAAATCTATAGTATTTTATTGTATCAAAGTAGTTAGCATGGTATGAAAACTATTTGTAAGTGGAATAACAATAATTTATAAAATTAAAAATAATAATATAGGTATTTTGGAACATTGATAAAATATTGATCAGGAACAATTGACTTAATACCAGGGTACCTTATAGTAACATTGTGAATATAATCTGATTTTCATAGGTTGTCTTAACCCATTTCAAGTGTTATTTCCCTTCTATTTTTCCTGACCTTCCCCCACTTGAAACAGAATTTCTGAGTTTTTACAGACCTTTGATATAGAACTATCACAATGCAGTGTAGAAGGAGATAGGAACCTTTTTTTGTTTTTGTAATTCCAGCACCTAATATATAGTATTGTATGTTCCTTTGAATTAAATTGTGTATACATTTAAGCTAGGGTGGTCGCTCAGGTCTGTAATCCTACCATGTTTCCCTGAAAGTAAGACAGAGTCTTATATTTATTTTTCCTCAAGAAGACACCCTAGGGCTTTTTTCAGGGGATGTGTTATTTTTTTTAAGTACAGTACAACAATCTACATTTTTTTCAAATATAGTTAAGTTGTCTTCTTCTGGAACATCATCATAACTCTCCAAAACCCCGAATTCCATCCTGTATTTCTTGTGACTCTATTTGCTTTAGAACCATTGGCCCCAATCTCTCATGTCAAGCAATAGCACTCACGTGGAGCAGATGAGAAGGGCTGCTGGTCTTCTTTACCGATCCACAACAAAATGCATGGGTTGTGCAGATACGCTGCATAGCCACGCTTATTTTTGAGGTAGGGCTTATATTGCACAAATGCTTAGAAATCCTACTAGGGCTTATTTTATGGGTAGGTCTTATTTTCAGGGAAACACGGTAGTACTTTGGGAGACTAAGGCAGGAGGATCATTTAAAGCCAGGAGTTTGAGACCAGCCTGAGCAACATAATGAGATCTGGTCTCTAAAGAAAAAAAATTAGCCTGGTACCATGGCATGTCCCTATAGTCCCAGCTACTCCCAGCTATTCGGGAGGCCGAGGCAAGAGGATCACTTGAGCTGAGGAGTTTGAGGTTGCAGTGAGCTGTGATTGATTGCACCATGCACTCTAGCTCAGGTGACAGAGCAAGACCCTGTCTCAAAAAAAATGTGTACAAATTTAATCTGTGCGGGAAGGTGATTGAACAAAGTTCACTTTTTCTCTTTTTGCAATGCTTTCTTTATGTCACGCACTGTGTTACATAATAATAAACTATAACAGTAAATTAGAGTGTTATTACTACAAGTGATTTGCAAATGCGAAGTCCGGCAATGTGAATTAATTTTGAATAATAGTTGGATAATTTTAATTGATTTTCTTACTTTAGCATTTTTGGGAAAAGTAATTACAAATGATTTTTTTATTTCTTAGTGTGACTGTGAAATACTATGGAAAAGCATCTCATGCTGCTGCTTATCCCTGGGAAGGAATAAATGCACTAGATGCTGCTGTCCTTGCCTACAACAATCTGTCTATGTTAAGACAGCAAATGAAACCAACCTGGAGAGTTCATGGTATGAATGATAAATATTTTGTATGATAGGTGGTACTTAATGTATTTCAATGCAATATACTTATTTAATATTTGATTTTTTAAAAACATTTGGAAACATTTTATGTACTTCATATGAATATTCTAAAAATTTTACACATATTTGCAGAAATTCATGTGATGGTACTACAACATCTGTATGTGGATAGGAAGACAGTTTGAATTATTGCACATAAATGGATTGGTCTTTGAATAACAGAGATAAAAGTTTTATGTAAGGAGCTACATTCTTTCTGTGGGTATTTGAAAATTGGAATGTGATTTTTCCAGTTGTCCTCACTGTCTCTTAATGATAACAAAATTTTGTCACTTCTTCAATTTGAAAGAAGTTGTAATGACTGCTAGTTTTATTTACTCAAGTGCTATTTATAGGCTGAAGTCAGTTTGTAATTGCAAAAACGTTACCAGTTTTCCCACCTTAGTTTCTTTAAAAGGAACAAACCAGAATATGTAGAAATATTTTTTTAAGTAGGTCATATGAAGTTAGATTTTGCATATCTATATTTTAGTTACTACTTTGAGTGGCTATATCTTCGTTCTGTGAAGTTTAGTTGCAAATGAATGTTTTTGTTTGAAAGTTGATAGTACTTGGTGATCTTTGACCTAGTTTTCTGTTGGCATGAAAATTATTTACCATTTGAAAAATGTGGATAATTAAAAATAGTAATATTGCCGGGCTCGGTGGCTCACGCCTGTAATCCTAGCACTCTGGGAGGCCGAGGCGGGCGGATTGCTCGAGGTCAGGAGTTCGAAACCAGCCTGAGCAAGAGCGAGACCCCATCTCTACTATAAATAGAAAGAAATTAATTACCAACTAATATATATAGAAAAAATTAGCCAAGCATGGTGGCACATGCCTGTAGTCCCAGCTACTCAGGAGTGTGAGGCAGCAGGATTGCTTGAGCCCAGGAGTTTGAGGTTGCTGTGAGCTAGGCTGACGCCACGGCACTCACTCTAGCCTGGGCAACAGAGTGAGACTCTTGTCTCAAAAAAACAAAAAAAATGTGCAACTATAGTAAAGCCTACTGAAACAAGACTCTTTTCCAGAAAGCTTAAGATATAGCTAATTTTATTGTTTGCAGTTATAGAATTTCTAGCAGTTTCTTTATAATCTGTATCATAATTTCTTAACATTATATAAGTTCCTTTGAATAAAGTACATGTAGTATCTTATTATTTTCCTGTTAGGCAGATAATGTCACACTCTGTATAGAAACTTATGTTGTACAACATATCAAAATCTTTGATTGGTATATTGGTGAAGCTAGTAAGTTTAAATTATTTTTCTTTATGTACATATTGGTTAAAAAACTTAATGAGTATATTTAAGCTTAAAGAAATGGTCACCAAGCTTAATTCCAGTAATTTGGTTTTTTTATAGGTATAATAAAAAATGGTGGTGTAAAACCCAATATCATTCCTTCTTATTCTGAATTAGTCTATTACTTCCGTGCACCCTCAATGAAAGAACTTCAAGTTTTGACCAAAAAGGCAGAAGATTGCTTCAGATCTGCAGCTTTGGCTACAGGGTGCACAGTAAGAACTTTTAAGAGTTAATCTAAGTTATAATTAGAGGTATATACATGGGCTGGGGCTGTTTATATTAAGTTAGATTGAAGCCTAACTTGCCTTTTTTTCATTTGGTGATATCTTGAATATGTAGAATGAACTGGCTGAATAGTTAATGTGAAAGTCTTTCATTTTTATATATTTTACTGAATGGCAGCAATAGGGAAGGCTACAGATCATCTTACTTTTATAGCAATTAGAATAATTCTTATACTGCTGAGCCAGAATCCCTGCCTTTTACAAGTTATAGTCTTCCTTATTGGTAGTTATGCTTTTAGAATTGTTCTATATTCTGTCCTGTAAAGGGAACTTTACGGCAAAATCAGCAAAAGCTATTTTTGGTCAAGTTATAGCTGTGCAGAGTAGTGAATGGCTTGCTGGAATGGATGTTAAAAACACACAGACGTTAGTTGAGAGGTTCTGTTGATTTGACCCTAATGTCAGAAACATTTAAGTACCAATCGTTTATGGTGTAAAGTAGTACAGATCCTGCCCTGCCCATAGTCTAGTTCGAGAGACAAGGTCTTGACCTGTGCCTTGGCTTAGGTAACTCAGTAACCTTCAGAAACATTATCTCTGGGCTGCCATTTTCTCACTTGAAACATGGGGATAATAGCAGTTTATTTTAGGGTTCTTATGATAATTAAATGAGATAGTTTGTGAAGAGTTTAGAGCCTCACCTTCATATACACCACCTTATTTTTTTCTGTCCTTATTAGTCTAGAGATGTATGATTTATTCCCATAGTAGCAGAGTCTCACAGTAACAGTAACTCTTAGTGTGTGTTAAGTGTCGTAAGAATAGTGTGGAAAGTGTTAGGAGAATTAGAGGCAGGAAAGAGATGGGCTGGGGCTGTAAGGAGGGTGTTGTGGAAGACTGTGGACCCGAATTGAGCTTTGAAGGATGATCATACTTTCAGATAGGTATGTGAAGGACAGAGAGTGAGAGCTCTTAGTTCTTTGATAGAGCTCTATAGTCAGCAAAGATAAGAGTATAGAAGCTCATGTTATAGTGAATAGATAAAAATGTGGACAAATGTAGGAGCAAGGACATATCCTCATATACCCTTAAAGATGATAGGTATAGATTTAGTTAATGAGAACTGTAAAGCTTCCATAGCACAGGGTAGTAAAAACTAAGCATTCATTCCCGTATTTGTCTACAAATATAAATATTTTTAATATATATGCATACATGAATATTATCATTAGCTAATATCTCAAGGTGTACAGTATTCCATTAGCGTAAGGTTCATTATTTAGTCTTTTAATAATTTCTTGTATTTTGACTCACTTATAAGGTTCGATTAGGTTGTCACTGCTTCTATTAATGGGTGTTGCCAAAAACAGAAGAAATGTCATCTCAAGAATAGAAGAAATGTTTTCTCTGCCATTTTATGATTGGCTTTTGCTAACATTGGTATTAAGTTCAAGGGAGTATTGCCCATTTTGATGTAATCAAAGCTGAATCTTTAAATCTGCCTAACTGGGCACATATAAACTGCTTCTGTATCTTCATACACTGAAACTAATAAATGAAGACTGTTGTCAACCCTTCCTCATTGTGAACCTTCTGTGTTTCTCTTAGGGTACTTTTTCTGCCTTTCAGACCAAGCAGTAGTGTCAGTGTCATTTGCATACTGAATGTTAGTAAAGTTTACTTTCTTTGTTTTGGAAACTGAATCCTAGAGCAGTATTCCTCAGAGTGTGGTTTTTGGACTACCTGGTGCTGGTTAAAATGGAAATTTCTGTGCTCTCCCCTCACCCTATTTAGGTGACTGAAATTTATGACTCCTGGCTAGTGTAGAGCTTGGTGACATCGTGTGGTCTGGTGCATACATAATACAAAGGAGATAGGGTCCTAGGAACTCTTCCTGTAGAAAATACATCTTCTTTTTTAAGGCGAGAGATTTGAGAGAGTTTATATCTAGAAGGGAAAATGCCCCCTCTTAAAATATCTTCCTGTTAGAGAATCCTCACTGATTTCAAAACTAGATAGTGAATTTGTGCTTTTTCTTTCAAAATTTTGTTTTGCAATTTTTTATTAGGTGGAAATTAAAGGTGGAGCACATGATTATTACAATGTTCTTCCCAATAAGAGCCTATGGAAAGCTTATATGGAAAATGGAAAAAAGCTGGGAATAGAATTCATTTCAGAAGATACAATGTTGAGTGGCTCTTCAGGTAATTAAGTTTTTTTTTAATATATATTGAGCTATTTGAGGAAGAGAAATACCATCTTTAATTAAATGGTGGTGTTTAATGGTTTGGGAGGTAAGGAGATATTGCTGATGTTTTTAATGATATTTTCATAAATTTCATGGTTAGTGCAAAGAAACTAATGGACTCTCATTGAGTGTAGAATGTCAAATAAGCAGATTTGTTTTTAGAAATAGCCTACTTTTTGATCTATATTCTCAATATTTCTAGTATTTAAATTTGTTCTAATTTTTAAGTAAGCTGCTAAAATGGGAAATAGAATTTTAATTCATTCTCAGTCATCACAGTGAGCAGGTTAAGTAAGTACTAAGTTATCTGGGGCATTTTCAGTTTTTTCGGAGCAACAGACAATTAGAATTTAAATAATAATAAGTATATTTGGGATTATTTTTTATTTTTTCCCTTTTTAAAGCATATTACTACTAATACCTTTGCAAGTTAGAGATGTATCTCCTATTATAATAATAGATATTGATGAAGTAGACCCAAAAGGACTTGGTGATAAAAATGGTGTGTCAGTGTCATTCATTGAGAAAAGCAGTTCAAGAGAAAGCAGGTTAGGGTAAGATGGGTTTATAAATTATTAGCATGTTAAATTTGAGGTGTTTATAGAATTTTTAAGTGGAGCCATTTAGTACCTATTGAATCTGGAACCCCAGGCTTCCAGAGGTTAAGGTTGGAGATTTAGGAATTGTTGATATATGGGAGGTAGTTGAAGACACAGATGTTGATGAGGTTACCCAAATACATAGAGGGAGAAGATGCCCAAAGATGAAACCCTAAGGATCAACAGCAGAAGGGATTTAGAGAAGGAGACAGCCATCAGAGAGAAAGCCAGACCATCAGGAGACACTAGAGACGTGGAAGCCAGTAGGTTAGAGAACGTCTAGAAGGGAGGGAGGAGTAAATCATGTCAGGGGCCACAGAGATTGAATAAGTTGAGTATGGTCTAGGGTCCGTTGGACCACTAATTAGAAATTCATGGATTGTCGGGAAGAAAATAGTTGAAGTCTGGTGGGACCAGATGCTGTATCTCACTTCTCTACCCACTGCGTTGACTGGTGAAGTAGTAGAGATAGCAAAGGAAGACTATTCTTTTTCAAGAAAGTAAGCTTTAAAGGAAAATAGAGTGGATACAAGCTTGAGGGAGATATGGAAAAGAAAAGATTTTTTAATGGAATATACTTGAGAGAAGTAGATGTAGGTAAATGCTCAGGAAGGAGGGCAGAGAGTTCAGAGACATCCTCCCAGGGAAGTTATTGGTAGCCCATGGTGGGCATTGAGCTGGTAGGCTGGAGGATTGAAAGAGAATTACCCCTGAGAGGAGTTAGCCAGGGACATCAGAGTTTTGTGTTTTATTGTTTTGGTTTTTTTCTGAATAGCACTAGAGCTCAGCTCAGCATTAGAAACCATGAATTTGTTGTCAAGGCAGTCTTTTATGGTCCTGTGCTTTTACCCTAGCAGGTTTCTGCAGTCTAGCTGTAGGAGGGAAAACACATGGTCAGTTTGAATTTTATTTAACGGACAAAACAGAATAAAACAGCTATAATTTGGGCTTGATTTGCAGGCACTAGCTCCACTGCTGAGGCCTTACAGTATACTGCAGCCTTTGTCCATCTTGTTCACTGCTGTGCCGTCACTGTGTATCTTAAGTGTCTGGAGCTGTTCTGTCTGGCACAGTTGCTTAGTGAATGCTTTCGGAAGCAGTACTTTTTTACAGAGGTCAGGTTGCTCCAAAGCCTGACCTCTGCCTGGCTTTACTACATAACCAGTAGCTATGAGACTGTGGGCACATTATTTAATACCTGTAATCCTTGGTTTCTTCATGTGTAAAATGGAAAGTGTTAATGAGAATAAGTATGAAGCACTTAGAATTATGTTTGGGACATGGTAATTCCAGATAAACATTAGCTACTGTGACATGTTTTGGTTCTTTTATTCCCTTACCACTTATTCTAGTATGGTCTAACTTTGCCAGGCATAGTGTTTGACACATAGTAAACATTCAGTAAATATCCACTGAGTGAACAGAAGGCTCTGTTTTTACTATGATTTATTCAACACATGTTTATGCATCAGTGATGTGAGAGGCTAGATGCATGGTGATTTAAAATACCATTTCTTGGCCGGGCGCGGTGGCTCACGCCTGTAATTCTAGCACTCTGGGAGGTCGAGGCGGGCGGATTGCTCGAGGTCAGGAGTTCGAAACCAGCCTGAGCAAGAGTGAGACCCCGTCCCTACTATATAAATAGAAAGAAATTAATTGGCCAACTAATATATATAGAAAAAATTAGCCGGGCATGGTGGTGCACGCCTGTAGTCCCAGCTACTCGGGAGGCTGAGGCAGGAGGATTGCCTGAGCCCAGAAGTTTGAGGTTGCTGTGAGCTAGGCTGATGCCACAGCACTCACTAGCCTGGGCAACAAAGCGAGACTCTGTCTCAAAAAAAATAAATAAATAAATAAAATACCATTTCTTGCCTTATAGAGCTTCATAGTCTAGTTTTCAAGATAGACATTAACTAAATAATCCAGTAAATGAAAACTAAAATTGAAAAGTGCTATGAAAGAGTGATACAATTCCATGAGAACCCATGCTAGAGGAATTTGACCTTACTAGGGAGGTGAAGTAAGGCTTTGTTGAGGGAATGATGCATAAGGTGCTATCTGAAGATTAAGTAGGGGTTAAGTAGGTGAAGAGGAGATACCATATATAAAGGTCCTGCGGTAGGGACACCTGCATGCTCAGTGTCCAGAGTAGTTGGGGTATAGAGGATAGTGGGAGCATGGTATGAGATCGGGTTGGAAAGATGAATGGTGTTAAGATTGAAAAAAAATATTGGCAAATAGAGTAGATGCTGCTAGACCAATTAGGGGACTATTTATATTAGTTCAGGCAAGAAATGATGATAGTGTAGACTGATTGGGGATAGATGTTAGTTTGATGGTGGTGAGAAGAGTGTAATGATTCTGAGATATTTGGGAGGTACTATTGACAGGTGGAGTGGGGGCAGAACAGAAAGGTCATGAATTTAGCTTTGGATATGTTAAGTTTGCTTTACCATGAAAACAACCAAGAGGCAATATCAGGCTGGCAATTGGATGAGCATAGAACATAGAAGAGACTGGGAATAAATTTGAGTTGGTGACAATTTGAAGCAATGCATACAGACAAAAAATCTTGAGAAAGTAAGAAGAGAAAGGGCCTGGAATTGAATCTCTAGTAACTGATATTTCATGGTCAGATAAAGGAGGCTGCACCCCCAAGAGAGACAGAAGAGGGGGCCAACAGAGAGGCAGAAGGGAAGCCAAGTGCTGTGTCACACAAGAGAAGGCAGGGGCTAGGCAGCAGTGTGCAGTGCCATGGAAAGGACAGTAAACACCATGGGATTGGGCAAGGGCAGGTCTTCGATGACCTTGGTGAGAGCTGTGGCGATGACTGATGTGGGTGGCTGCCAACTGGAGTGGATTGAGGACTTGGTAGGAGGTGAGGTGGTGAAAGCACAAGCATGCGGACAGCTCTCCAGGAAGTTCACATCTCTGGATCTGTCCTCAAGGGGTATAGAACTGTAAATAGCCAAGTACCGAATTCTAGCTGTAACTTCGTAGTTCAAGAATATTTAAAAACATTCTGACTTCATTTCCTCTTAAAAAAAAAGAATATTTAAAAACAAATATACTTTTCTTACTTTTTGTGTTCCAAGGATCTACTGATTTTGGAAATGTTACTTTTGTGGTTCCTGGAATTCATCCATATTTTTACATTGGATCTAAAGCCTTGAATCACACTGAGCAGTACACTGAGGCTGCGGGTAAGTGCTGTTGGGTGGGAATGTTTTGGCATGTGCTCTCTTTTTCTAGTAGTAACTGCCTATTATTTTATTATATTACATCACCTCAGTAAATACTATATTGCAGTGGGCAGCGGAGAGCCAATTTAGATATTGAGAGCTAACCTGAGAAATTAATAAATTAATTTTCAATAGATATGGAGACATTTTAAATTATTTTCTGTACCTTTTAGGGTCACAAGAAGCTCAGTTCTACACTTTGCGTACGGCCAAAGCTCTGGCAATGACTGCATTAGATATTATTTTTAAACCAGAGTTGCTGGAAAGGATCAGGAAGGACTTTAAATTGAAACTTGAAGAAGAACAGTTTTTAAATACAGTAGAATAAAAGGAAGATTTAGGAACCGCTTATGAATTATTAAGAAGATGTGATTTTTTTTTTCTTTAATTTTTGTTTAACAAAGGGGAAGACATGCTTGTTTTTCAATCTTAAAGGAATCAAATTTCCCTCCCTGATAGGTGAAGATGGGATATGGAGAAAACATTACCTCATATCTAAAGTGAAAATTTTTGCAAATCTATACTTGATGTAATTGTGATATTTTAGGAGCTGGTATGTTATGCCATTTCTTAAGCTGGATGATACATGGTTTATCAGTGATAATATTTTGTAAACTTACATGTTGTATGTATTTTTAAAAGTCCAAGAGGTTTCAAACCTTGTATTCAGAATTGACATCCATGACAGAATTTTGTGGTATAGGGTGGTAAACTCGTTCTTACTGTATATGAGGTCTGTCCAGAAAGTATCCAGCCATGTAATGTGAAAAATAAAGACACTTACTGAAGAACACACAAGATACAAGAAACATAGTACATAGGACAATGATGCCTCAGCCCCCTTAGGGAGAGTGATGCCTCATTCTGCTTCAAAGTAGCCACCTTGGGACCTCACACAGTTCTTCCACTGTTCAAAACACTCTGCAAAATCCTTTGTTGGAATCGCCATCCTGCCTCATATTTTCCTGAATCTCATTGATGGTCTGAAATCACTTCCCTTTCAAAGGCTGGGAAAAGCCTGAAGTTGCTGAGTCATCTGGATGATTTGATGTTTTGCCAAAAAACTCTGCATGAGGTGTGATGCATGGGCAAGTGCATTGTTGTGATGAAGCTGCCAATCACCAGTTGCCCATAGCTGTGGCCACTTTTGTTGCTTGCATCTCTCAACCAACGAAGAACATTGAGGTGTAGTATTGTTTATTAATTGTTTGGCCTGGAGGAATATACTCGTGATGGACAGCACCTTCCCAAGGAAAAAAACCACAGTTAACATGGTCTTGATCTTGCTGCAGTTTCTTCAGGTCTGGAGAACCAGGTGACTTCCATTGGGACTGCTGGGCCTTCATTTCCAGATCTTAGCTATAGACCCACGATTCATCTCTGGTTATGACCTTCTTGAGGAAATCTGGTTCGTTGGTAGCGGTTTGAAACAAGTCATTAGCAAATGCAGCACAATGTTCTTTCTGCTCTGGTAGCAGAAGCAGCGGAACACATTTTGCCACTATATGTTTCGTGCCAAGATCCTACATCAAAATCTCGGACGCAGTAGTTTCTGGAATCCCCATATTGGCTTCTAGTTCTCGTACTCAGTCAATGATCTTTGTTGACTGCAGCTCGTACACGTTCGACATTCCCAGGCGTTCTGTTTGTTGCAGGCCTTCCAGAATGTGGATCACTTTCAACAGATTCTGTACCATCTTTGAAGCATTTGTGCCACACTTTCATTTGCGCTGCACTCTTTGCATTGTCCCTGAAAGCCTTCCAAATCATCCACATAGTTTATGCGGAAGAATGTTCAAGCTTAACGCAAAATTTGATGCAGATTTGTTGCTCTACTTGCTCAGTCATTTTGAATGCAACAGCCACACATGCTCACTCAGCTGTGTCTAGCACCCCACTGACTTAGTACAGTGATGTCATCATTGTTCACACATGCGCATTCCAGTCCACTTTCCTTGGTCGCCAGGTTACATCAGTGTCATGCAAATTGTTCTCATTATAGTAACAAAGACTGGATACTTTCCGGACAGACCTTGTATATATGGTTTATTATTCCTCTACTGGATTGTATATTTGAAGCCAGAATCTTTTAATATGCATGTGTATGAATATTTTTTAAATTCTTATAGTATTTAGTATAGTAGCTTGCTTACCTATGAATATTCATTACTTTTGAATACATAAATACTGCTTCCCTACTTGGAATCATCAAAGTTTAAAATAGTTTTGTGGACAGATCATGATCCTAAGATGAGTTTTAATTTTGAGTTGTAGGCGTCTCTTGTAGCACCTGTAGAAGAAAAGAGATACTTAGTATTATTTTCCTTTGGGTACACTTAAGAAATGCAACTCATTTTAAAAAATGACTAGCCTGACTTAGAGCAAGGTTTAAAATTATATGATTTTTGAAATATTGAATTAGTTTCTGACCTAAATTAGTGGTATAGGTAGACCTGCTTGATGTGCCTTTGTTTTAAAGGAAAGTGTTTTAATTACACTTCATACCCTGTACTGAAAGCCTTTCCCTCAAATACCATCTTTTGGCTATGTTAAATTAATAGACTTCAATAGGTATAATCTAAATTAATGGTTTAAATATACAAACTGAAAATGTTTTCTCTTAAGTGACTTAATTTTAAAAGCAGGTCTTAATATGAGACCTGTATAAAATAATTATGTGCTACTATTAAGTACTAAGTTGCTATATACCATATAAGATTGGATATAGCTGATATTTAGCATGCCTCTTAAAATTTTTGAAGTGCTTTTCAGTATTCAATTCTTCATATTATGTGAACTGCTCAGGAATTTTTCCCTTTTAATTGCCATTCTCTGTAGCACTCATAAGAGCCAAGGCATTAAGGATAAACTAGAACATTTTGTTTGTTTATGAATACTTGTGTAAACTTAAAAGTGTTTAGATTTCCCACAGTCCTCCCAAAGGACTATTTATTAAGAGTTGTGTTGATATTTTAACTGTTACAATTTCAGCAGTTGAGTTCAATGAACATTTGTTGAGTTCCTATTTCTAAGCACTGGATGTAAGAAGAGTAAGACGTGGTCCATGCCTAAAAAAGCTTGTGGTTAGTGTAAGTTCTCACAAGATTTACTTCATCTGAACAACACTGGGATTCGGGGAACAGCTGAAAGCTACAGTCTTGAAAATTTTTGAGTAATGTTTCTAAAATATTTAAAAATACCCGAGTCACTTTAATCTGTTTGAACAGAAGAAATTGATGTGAAAAATTTTTTAAAGAATGATTGTCTGATTTTGTATGTTCTTTTTAAAAACCTTGCTGATGGAGTTTTATACATTTCTAACTTTTTATCTGAAGCATCTCTTTAGTCTTCTGGAAAATATCCTACATAGTACTCGCCTTCAGAACTATGAAAGTAAATTTTATTTTAAGATAAACATTATCTTTGTGCTATCTAGCAACTCTTTATAAGGCTGTAAGGTGTGATAAACTATTTTTTGACAACTTAAAGCGTTTGGCAATTCAGTTACATAGTTGAGGATGATGTATTTTGATATGTATCAAAGTTGCTGTTTTCAAGTAAGTAATCAGTCTACTAACCATCCAATTATAATTGTTTTTATTATTATTTTAATACATATATTAAAATATGTATGAAAAAATATCAAATGATAAATAAAATTTATCTAATAGCAATTGTCTTTTTAAATGACATGTATGTGAAGATATAATAAATATATGAAGATAAACACAGTTACCCAAATATACTGTGATATACTGTACTTTCTCTTATTTGTCAGTATTATAGAGATTGTTTTGCTTTTCAGCTATATAATGTCATATATTTTAAAAGCAATTAAGTTCTTTCGTTTGAAAATGAATGTTTCACTAGTCTCCCTAAGCTGAAAATGGCAATGCATATTGTACATGATAGGAGTTAGATACATAATTATACTATTGAGTATGTCTTTTAAAAATTTTTGCAACTTAAATACAAAGTAATTCCATATAATAATGCAAATGCAATAGAATGGGTTTTTAGATCCTTATCAGTAGCTAAAATAAAGAATAAGTGCCTCATAAAAATTGCAACTGTCCATGTTTCTTCGTTTAAACTAGCTTTCAAAATAGAAACAAAATGTGTTCTTTTAAATTTTTTTTTTTTGTAGAGACAGGGTCTTGTTATGTTGCCCAGGTCTTGAACTCCTGCCCTCAAGCAATCATTCCAGAAGGCTGGGATTACTGGTGTGAGCCACTGTCCCTAGCTCCTGTTCTTTTTTTTTACTGATTAAAATGTAAGATTAGCTTTGGTTAGTTCAGTGGATCAAAGCCTCTAATCACCTTAAAAAATGAACCTTGGAAATACAACACAGAAAAGAATATCAGGTCAGGGTTTTAAATAGGCAAGAATCTTGTTTAGATCAAAGATTAAGTAGACATTACCCAACTGGATGAACAATTGCATTTGAGAGTTTGAATTTTTTCTGTTTGTTGTGTTAACTAATTACTGACATAGTATTTTGTTTAGCTGAAGAGAATGAGAGGTGGTTAAAAACCTGCATATTTTCCATTTAATTTATTCAAGGTATACCAAAGCTTCTAAATTCATATATTGTAACTGCCTTACATGATATGGATTCAGGACTAACAGCAGCCTCATGGAATGCTATCTGACCTAACACATTCCTTGAAGAAAGTGTGTGTTATGATATGAGAATCTTAAGGAGTTTGATATGATCCTAAATAGACCTTGACTATAAATAAAGAGTTATTAGTAAAAGTTTGCTCCTTACTTGAGAGCAGGGTAGCATGCCACCTTTGAAGAAATGAACTCAGATGAAACCTAAAATTTAAACTAATATCCAAGCCCATTACTCTTTGAAAATGTTGTAGTGGTACTAAAGCTTTGTTCCACCATAATGTTTCCTCAAAGGGAGCAGTTACCCATAGCAGCTGTTTGGTATGCCTTCCATAGCTTCTGGAAGGCTTATAGCCTCTGCCCTTACATTCTAGATCATAAAACCTACTGAAGTGAGTTGTATGTTCTTTAAGAGAAGGTCCCTTCCCAGGCAGAAACAATGCAACCTTGCTTCTCTTGGATTTTTATCTCTAAGTACTTCCTATACGCAGACTGGAGTCCAATGATAATGAGCCCCGGAATTTTGACTTCAATAAGCCTGTGAATGTCATGTATGAGCAGAGAAGTCCAATCTTGATAGTAAATGAGTAAATGCAGTAAATAGTAAATGAGTAAATGCAGTAAATAGTAAATGAGTAAACAGTAAATGCAGTCATCGAGCAAGAAGTAAAGCAGTATTTATACTGGTTAGAAAGAAAAAGAAGCTGTCTGAAATCTTTCTGGTGAGGGATACCCAGCTGAACTTCACTTTATTTCCTTTATTTTACATATGTGAGACTCCTCTGTATTTCTTAAACTATTTTGAGTGGGTTACTGTTCACACTGTCAAATGTCACTAAGGTATAATTTAATACTCATTCCTGATTTTTAAAGTCTTAAAAAGCTGGGGACCTAGAATCACACTATGGTAACATAATAAAATTGATCTCAAATT